ACTGAGCCTCATCTTTGGGATATTCCAAAGATAGAAGGCCAGGAAAAGTGGGAACCAGAAAAAGAAACTGAAATGTGAACAAAAAGGAATAAGAAAGGCCAAGGAAAAGCTCTGAAAGTCAAGTGTATCAGAAAGTGCATCGAGCAAGGGGAAATAGCTAAGTCACACACTGCTGAAAGGTCAAAGGAAAGGACTCTTGCATTTAATGTGTAGGAAGAGCAGCCTCAGTGACGTGGTAGGAAGGAATACCTAATTGAGTGGATTCAAGAGAAAAGGAATTGGAGGCGGTGAGTATTGGTAACTTTTGAGGTGTTTTGTTGCAAAAGCTGATTTTGTAAAAGATGGTCTAGATAATAGCATGTGTATAATTCATAGAAACACTAGAATAGGGGAAAAAACGAAAAATGTAGGAAAGGGGTGAAATGACGGCACGAAGACATTGAGTGGGGGGACTACCTTGGAAAAGGAGCATCAACAACCTAGTAAATGCAAAGTAGAATATACAGGGTGTCCCCCCAAAATATCTACATACTGAATAATTATTAATTCCAACAGGTTAAATCTGAAAAGACAGAAACACCAATTGTACTATCAGCTGTATACATTTTTTGGGGACACCCTATATACACATAGGTGGTAGTGAGTTGATGATGTGGTGGGAGTCAACGGAAGTTCTCTAATTGCTTCAATTTTCTTAAGTAAAAAGCAAGTCACCTGTTGACAGAAATAATCCTGGTCCAAAGAAATACAGGATGATTATCAGGTGGTATGAAGCGCTTTCTTAAGGTTCTGATCATGAATAGACAGTGAGACTAGCCACCTTGATAGTTTGCTCCAGCTACATGGGTGCAAGTGCAGAGCAGGTAGACTTTAGCCAAGGATGTAGTTTTGGCAAATGGGTACAACAGTGAGTGAGAGGCAAGGAAGCTGAGGGTGTCTTGGAGAGTGATCGTGATTGATCATGGTTTACAAGCAAGTTGGGTGAGGAAGGAAGAGAGGGTATCCAGGTGGTGAGGGAGACAGTAGCATCAATTTATTAATGGTCATGGTGACTCTGAATTGATGTAGTTGCGGTGGTCAGAGAGGGATGCGTGACATTCAAACTACGGAGTGGTTGGCAATTACTGGTAATGACATGGGACTGAGTGCTCAAGGAGGGTGAAAGACAAAATCATTGGACTTTTCAAGGAAACTGAGAAGCCAGTCTGTTGGATCATTTATGTCAATGGTTCTCAATCTTTAGCATTAATTAGAATTACATGAAAAGCTAATTAAAACAGATTGCCAGATCCCACCCCAGAGTTTCAAGGGAGAGCATGATAATTTTTATTTCTAAGTTTCCTAGTGATGCTGCTGCTGCTGCAGTCCAGGGACCATACTTTGAAATCCACTGACCCATGTGTATGCTGAAATTGCCAAGATTTAAGATAGTTTTGAAGAGCGGCAGTGAGCCAGGAGAAAAAAAAATTGTCAAGAAAGAAAGAAGAGTGGCCTGGCGATTGGTAGAAAACTGCCAACAATCAGGGGCAGAGGGTACAGGGTGGGCAAAAATAGGTCAATTACCAGCCATCATTACCTAAAAGGTAAATCACATGTAAAGATGTGAAATAACAACAAAACAAATAATACAAATAAATAATAGTAATTAATAAGTACTGATAAAACAACAAGCTGTTTCCCATACTTACAACTGTAAACCTACTTTTGCCCATCCTGTATAACCGGAAGCTGTGACTTAACCGTGGAGTTTTTATGGAGTGGTTAGAAATCGGGTGGCTGAAACAGTGGGTTGTAGCAAAATGAGATTTAGAAACGTGACAGGCAGATTGTCAAGGCCTTGAAGGTCAGTATTAGTATCAGGTCGAGTGTAAATTCCTGCTAAGGGAACCTCTGCGGGAATTGCTACTTTATTCATCTCAAGAATGATCACAGCTGTACCAATTCATGTTCTGATAATTAGGAAATATTAAGCCCTACAAAGCTAGATATCACTTTACATGAGATTAAGTAGGCTGACATCTGATGGGACAATAAAGCTTAAATAGCTTGACAGTAGGGCAAACCAGGACTGAGAATACTCAGAAATACAGAACGGAGCTGAAACTATGTAGTGAGGTCTAAAAGGTGGTCAGGAGCCAAGTCAGGGCACAGCCTACAACATGGGATCATCGCCTGGCCCAGTTAGTGGTTCCATCACTTAAAACTCATGGGATCCTAGCCTTGGCTGGTGTGGCTCAGTTGGTTGGGCATCTTCCAGTGCACTGAAGGGATGCTGGTTCGATTCCCGGTCAGGGCACATGCCCAGGTTGTGGGCTCGATCCCGTCGGGGGCATGCAAAAGGCAGCCAATCGATGTTTCACTGTCACATTGATGTTTCTCTCTCTAAAAATCAATAAAAACAAAAAAACTCATGGAACCCTAGCCAAATCATGTTTCTGCTTAGTCCCTGACTTGTTAAACGGGTCTGTCATCTATGCCATGTGCCTCAGGGGAAGTTTGAGGGCTAAATGAGTCAGTGCAAGTGTTTCGAAAAGGTAAAGTGCTATACCAATATGAAATATTTAAGAAGTAAATAGTACTGCTCTGGCCAGTGTGCAGAGGTTAGAGCGCCGGCCCATACACCAAAGGGTCTCAGGTTCGATTCCAGGTCAAGGGCATATATCTGGGCTGCAGAGATTGTGCCTTGTCAAAATCCTTCAATGGCTTCCCATTCACTGTCCCTAAAATAGTGCATTCTTTAATATGGCATTAAATGCACTCCATGATCTGGTCTCCACTATCTCTGGGCTGACCTCGCTACTCTTCTGTACCTGGCGATTCAGCCATGCTTACCTTCTTTCAGAATCCCCAATGTGCCACTTTCGCATAGGCTGTTCCACCTGCCCAGTATACCTTGTGCATTCTTCTTAGCTAGTTCTTATTTTTCTGGTTACTTTAGTTATTAGTTCTTCTGACAGCTTCCCTTTGGCCCCCTCTCAAGTGCGGGTTAGACTCTCAAGCATTACCTTCCACTCCCCTCATTACAGCATGTCATATTATTCTAAGTGCATGCTTAATTACCTGTCTCAGCTGACCTCTTGTGACAGTTAAATACAGTCTTGTTCACGAATGCTTCTAACAGTTAGCATAGCGCCAGGATTTAGGAGACACACAGTAAGTATGTGAGGAATGAGCTGTTAGTGGTGAGCCCTTGGCACACTAGCTCTGAAAGAGCCTAACCAGTTCTCTACTACAAAACAGGACCTTAGGGGTTAGGGTTAAGAAGGCAAATAGTAACAGGCCTGGTGAAGTCAGGTGGCCCCTTGGAGGAGTCCACCGCTATTTTACCCTACAAAAATTCTATCCTTGCAAGATTAGCCACCATATATCATAGGTGTGCTGTATGGCAGAGGGGGAGGAAGCAGCAGCGAAGTGAGTAGTAAATGTTTATTCTGAAAACTTTCTGGGGTGACTATGTGGTTTAAAAAAAAAAAAATCACATTACATATAAATTAGACATTTCTTAATTTTAATACAGTTTGAAACAGAGAAATTCATAAAGATCACCATTATTGTAGTATCTTTTTAGTCTTCTGCTATGTGTATTTTAAGTTATTGAATGTCCCCTGGCCACTGTGGCTCAGTTGGTTGGAGTATCATTCTGTACATCAAAAGGTTGCAGGTTTGATTCCCGGCCAGGGCACAGGTGTAAGGGAGGCAACAGATCGATGTTTCTCTCTCTCTTTCTTAAAAAAAAAATAAAAAATCCTGGTGTGGCACAGTGGTCAGAGGGTCGGCTAGAGCACCAAAGGGTCACAGGCTCAATTTCTGCCTATTGGGGCGAGTGCAGGAGGCAACCGATCGATGTGTCTCACATTGATGTTTCTCTCTTTCCCATCTTTCCTTCCCTTCCATTTTCTAAAAATCAATGGAAAAATATCCTTGGGTGAGAATTTAAAAAAAGGTTACGGAATGCCTTTTGAAGAGGCAGTTTCAGCTTTGACCACCTATGCTTACTGCAAAAGTAGCGTTAGGCATTATTTCCTATCTCAGAAGAGTAATGGTCTCTCTGAACACTATCTATCACTTACTAAGCGAAAGCAGTGGTGTTCTAAACGTAGTGGGAAAAGCTGGGATTGACAGGATAAATGTTCGATACTGGTAAAGGATGAGCACTGTGCTGTGAGCCATGATGCTTTTCCAATATGCGCTCATCTTCTGGTTATCATCAGCTGGTACTGCATGTCTGGCAGGGGCTGCAAGAGTTACAATGGATTCATAAAGTACCAGTGAGCCATTCAAAGATGGTTAAGATCCCCAGAAAAGCCAATGAATGAATAAGTCTCTCCTATATCAATAAAATGGCCCAAGATGGTAGACTGACAACCAACCACTTCTATTTATTTTAGGACATAATATACTTTGTAGATCCACTGATGATACTAAATTATAACCTTGTTTATCCATAGGGTATCTTATTTTAGCAAAGATAGGTTGTAAAAATCATAAAACTAGATAGATTAATAATGATACACATATCAAAATTAGATGAAAAATGGAGGTCATGGTTCTCATTCACTGCCTTGGCGTTAAAGATGTTATAAAGGAAAAAACAATCCCACCAAATATCCCAATCTTTACAGACATAGGTATCGTCAAAAAGGTCTTTCTCTGATTTTAGCAAAGAGAAATCATCCAAATTTTATTCTTTAACTAGTGATAATGATTTAAGTCTAGCACATGGTAATGCTGTTTCTCTTACTGCAGCAAGTTCTACTTTTCTCAAGGCCTTTCTCCCAACATTTCTGGAAATAAAATATCATATTTCCAACCTTCAAATTAAAATGTTATCCTCATAAATACATGCACCAGGCTGTTATATTCACATATATGCTTTCCATTTTCAGGCTAAGCAAAGGCATGCATTTAGAGCTGTATTAGTGTTATTAAAGCAAAAGACAATCCAACTGAACATCAAGAGAAATTATGACCTTTCCATGCAGTATTTGATACAGAAAACATTGACTTTGACATATCTTTTTTTATTCATTACAATTCTGATCACTCGTGGTCCAAGAACATTGAAATAATAAACCAAAAAGAAACAGATGTTAAAGATTGGTCTTCAAACATCATAGCCAATGATGCCACGCTTGCCTATGATCTCGCCAATATAAAACCACATCCACACCTCAGTGGCCACCAAACCATTCAGCAACGCTTCCTGGGGGGGAAAAAGCATAAACTTTAATGTGCATCTTTTTCTTACATATTTAAAACTATTATTTTCCAGGATTAAATGACAGAGAATATAAGGATGCTATTAAAATTAGGAGGCAGTTCTAGTCAAAGTCAAGAATTACTGATGTTAACTTTGTTCAACTGCTTAGATCCTCTGAACTTTCAATTATGTAAGGTAAGCAGTTCAGAGCTTATAAATTCTTTCAAAGCATTCTTTAAAGATCTGAACTGACTTAACACTTTCATTACTAGTTTATGAGACGCTTTATGAGCCCTAAAACAACCCACATCCTGGAAACAGCTGACACGTTCAGACAGGGCATTCATATGAAAGGAGGCTACGGGAAGAAGGCAAGTCTCTGAATAGACATTTCTATCTGACTAGGGAAAATCTGTTGGAAGATAAAAGGCTCTGTCTTCTCTTTAGACATCATTTTTTGCCTAACTCTTGTATTTAGTAATTATTCAGTTTCACAAATCAATGTTTTACTGCCCTGAAGAGAAAAAGTACAGATGGTTCCAGAAAGCAGTATTACATGTAAGTGCAAACATGGATCTTGAAGCTGTGGAAAAAAATACCTTTTCACAACAAAATCGAACCTTTTCCTTTTAGACCTGAAAGTGAATTCTTCCTTTCAAATTAGATCAGAAATATTGAAAGTTTCCTGAAAAATAACCGTATTTTCCAGGATGTAGTTTCTCAAGTCAACAATAATTTAGTTATTTAGGGTTTTTTATCCTACGCTTCAATCACGCAAACAAGCATAAAACACAAGTTCTAATTCTTGTGGTCTTTGTATTTTATCTCCACAGAATCCCACAATCCTTCACACTGTATTACATGCTTGCTAGGGTTTGATATTATCCTTCATATGAATGTTAGCTGTCTGACTGGGATACATTCTAAGAGAGCTTTAGGCCAGATTGGGGATAGTTACAGGATTACAGATGAAAAAAAAGTACAGAATCAACAAAGTAAGCCCTCCTATTTTAGTATACAAACCAAAATAGGAAGGCAAAGAAAGTTGCCCAATAAAAACACTCACTTCTTTTTATAGAAACAGAAAAGGTATATAAGCCCAATCAGCAGTCAAGAAAGAGATTATCTCTCATCATGTTAGTTTCAGCTTTACTGGAAAATACATATATTAATCAAAACAATCAGAAAAATCCCAAGGGAAGACATTTTCTATTATGCGTCCATTTTCATTTATTTATTTAATTAATCCTCACCCGACGATATGTTTTTTAAAAAAACTGATTTTTGACAAACATCGATGTGAGAGAGAAACATTGACTGGCTGCCTCCGTATGTGCCCCAGGCAAGGATCAAACCCATAACCTTTTGGTGTATAGGATGACTCTCCAACCAACTGAACCACCTGGCCAGGGCCATAAGTTTTCATTTAGCACATAGTTACCTTAACTGTGAGCTGTTTGAAGCTACCAGTTTGAGCACTGCGGACTATTTTTTTCAAGCTCTGAATAGCTGTGGGGATCTCAGCAGGAGTTGGAGGAATCAGCTCCACCTTGGCATAGTGCCAAAATGTGGCCAATCGAGGCTTTGAGTAAGTCACAGCAGCTGGAAAACAAAACAAAACAAAACAGGATGAACTCACTAGAGACCAAAAGAAGCAGATGTGTGGGCTGGACACAAATATTTATTCATGCATCACATTCATTCACTGCTTGCAGCAAATGTGCACCCGGTGTGAAAAGTCAAAGCAGTTCCCTGGTAATAAGAGGCTTTTAAAGATGCAGAACACCTGTGTCACAGGGAAGTTCAATTAGGCAGGAACTATAAGCAAATTCAATTATGCCAGGACTTCACTAGTGGGCAGCTAGTACTGCTACTTTATTTATGAATGGCAAATCTAGTTAACTGTAAAGTTATGGGAAGTTGGTTTCAAAAACAAGAAAACAGCAGCAATGTAACACTTTCTTGGTAGAGAGACCAGAAAATTTGGAGGAAAGAGGTGTGATAGGGAAAGAAAGGAGCAGAATGGCATCCTTCAGACTAAGATAAAAATCTGTCAAAATATTGGCTACAAATCCAGATGGAGTTATCCATTTTTGGCACTCATCAATATGTGCTGGATCAAATCTTTCTTTAACAAAATCACAGCTGATCCTCCTTCAAAACATCACAAATAACAATAATACCTATATGTATTGTTAAGAGCAGCCAAAACTCGAATCTATTACCAAGATAAATTTCCTCAAAGTATTTACTATTTCAAGAAAAAAAGATTTTTAACAACTAGTGTAGATGTGAGACTATGCTAGTGATTTCATCAAGAGGAAGGCATTTTATTAAAAAAATTACAAGACAAATGTAATAAAAACACAAACGCACGAATATCCATAAAGTATCTATTGTTCAAAGATAGATCCAAGGCTTCTGGTACTTTTCCTATTATTAACTGCCTGCGTTTAGTATTTCACTACTCTTAGAATCACTATTTCTGTCATCCTCTATTTTAAGGCTATGGGTAAATTTTTTTTTAATTGATTTTAAGGAGAGAGGGAGAGAAAAAAAACATCAATTTGTTGCTCCGCTTATGCATTCATTGGTTGATTCCTGCACGTACCCTGACCGCCACAGAACCTGCAACCTTGGTGCATCAGGATGATGCTCTAACCAAGCTCTCCAGCCAGGACAATGAGTGAATTTTTAGGCAGACACAAAGCTCTAAGAGATAGTTCTAAATAGAATTATAAATGCCTGAGGGTGAGGCTATCAAAAAGTACAGTCTGCCCAGGCCGGTATGGCTCAGTTGGTTGGGAATCATCCCATGCACAGAAAGGTTGCCCGTTTGATTCCCGGTCAGGGCACATGCCTAGGTTGTGGGCTCCAACCCCCACAGGGGTTGTGAGGGAAGTAGCTGATTGATGTTTCCCTCCTTCTCTCTCTAAACATAAATATTTTAAAAAAGTACAAAGTCTGTGTAACTCTCTTTAAAATTTAATCATCAATACACAGATATTTTATCCTTTAAAAAAAAATCAGTACACTGTATGCAAACTGTACTCTAACAGAGAAGTTACAGATAGAAAAGCAAAGCAAGAGTAAATCCTGTGGTACTGGGTTAGAGTTGGAGACATTCAAGTGAACTCGTGTTTAGTTTAATATATGTATACAGACAGGTACAGAAACAATTGTATATATGCATGTATACACATGGTTTTGTGTGTACATACACACACACATACACCCCTGTTCACTAAGAGGGCCTGGAAGCAATAATATAGTTTAGTAGCAAGGAATATATCCAGTTTCAAAAAACCATTGTCCAATAAAAGGAAGTAGGGCTCCTTGGAGAAATGGCTGATTCTAAGGCTGGGCAGGGAAAAGATGAGCCTGAAGAATCTTGCAGTACCAGGAAGTCAAAAGGACAGAGGTGCCAAACTCAAAGAGTTCTCAATGGCTATGGCTGCAAAAATTTGAGCACAAAATAAATAACATACTGCTGGAAGTATGACATAAATGTACAGGAGTCCATACAATAAGTGATTGAACAAATAAATAAATGGGGAAGACACAAATCTTTCTCATAGAAGAGTTCCACTTAAATGTACGTCGATCCTCCGTCCTGCAGAAGGAATCCCTGCTGATGGAGCTGCTACGCCTCTCTCCCCACCCCCTACACCACGGGCTAGACTTAGTTACGTGCTTCAAAGAATAGAAAGGGAAAAAGAGTAACTTTACAGTGAAGAAATCTAGCAAATATTACCTTAACATTAAGTGATGAAAGCTAATTTCACCAGCGACATTGTATGGATATCACACACGTCCTGGTATGTGATTAGAGCACTTCACTTTTGTGGTCTTTTTTTGTCAAAATCCACAGCTCCAGACTAATCATGAGAAAAACAGCAGACAAATCTAGACTGGAGAACATGCTTATAGGATACCTAGACATACTCATATAGATAACTCAAAACTGTCAAGGTCATGAAAGGTAAGGAAAGATTGGAAAACTGTCATACACCAGAGCCAGGGAGACTGACAGCTCAATGCAATGTGGCACCCTGGGCGGGCTCTTAGAACAAAGAGGTTAATGAAAAAACTGATGAAATCCAAATAAAGTCTGAAGTTTAGTAATAGGAAAAAACATACATATTCTGAATTTTGTGGGAAAGTTTAATGATAAAATTACTTATTTGTTAACATTCTTTGTCCTCCACAGGAATTAAGAGACATAGTAATTTTTTGTTTTGTTTAATCCTCACCTGAGGATATTTCTTCTATTATTTTTCAGAAAGTAGAAGGGAGAGAGAGAAACATCGATGTGAGAGAGACAATGATGGTTGCCTCCCACAAGCGCCCAGGGGCTGGGGATGGAGCCTGCAACTGAGGTACATGCCCTTGGTCAGAACTGAACCCAGGACCCTCTAGTCTGCGGGCCAATGCTCTAACCACTGAGAAAACTGGCTAGGGCCAGATGCAGTAATTTTTATTATGCACTTAACATTCACATTTAATAAGCTGAGTTATGTTATAAAGCAAAGTACATTTCCACTTTAACATTCTGGCCCCAGTTGACTTCTGAGTACTTTTGGAAGGACCACCACCATTACCTTGCAATTATTCGCAATAATAGAGGAAAGGGCTTACCTACATCACAATAAACTTATTTTTGTATTACCTTTATTTTCGGGTTATTATTAAAATGAGTTTGCAATTCCCCAACATGCACCATCTAAATGATGTGAAAGCCACTTGAAACTTAACATCATCCAAAGTTCAAAGAACGAAGCCCCTAATCCTTCTTTTACTTCTGTAAACTTGCAGAGCTCTGTCAGACAGATGCCTTGATGGCCGTAGGAAACTGGAGCTCTCTGGGAAGTGTGGGCTAGCAGACTGCGGGAGAGAATAGTGATTTATAGTTCCTGGCACTGGGAGGCTTTCAGTAACTCACTGTTCGGCTGCGATGAAGGAGGAGAGAACAGAAAATGCCACAGTGTACTTAAAAAAGTCTATCCACACTTCATAATCAAACCCGGGCGAAAGCCACTTAAAGAGATCTGCTGACGGGAGTACCGACCCTTAGTGAGAAAGCTTCCGTCAGTGTAAGTTCCCTCACTTCGCGAACAGAATGAAAAGCCTGCTACCGAGCGACAACGGAAACACCGACCGAGCGACCGCTGCCGGGCTGTGGCCGCCGGGGCTGGGAAACACAGCTCCGGAGCCGGGGAAGCGGCAGCTGCGTCCAACAGAGAAAGCGCGAGTGCTGAGCGCAGGAGCAGGGCTGCGTCCACACGCCCGTTCCCCCTGCAGTCCGGCTCCCCGAAAACCCCTCCAGAGCCTGCCAGTGCAGAAGCTGAAGCCCGTTCAAGCGCTCACCCACCCCGGGCTTCGGCAGACTTCGACGCTTTGCCCAGAAGCCGACGACCGCAGGAGGCCGCCTATGTGCTCCCGCACACCTCGGCCCTCCCTCGCCCGGCCGCCCCCGACTCGCGCGCCCG